AATTGATCACTGGGACAATTGATCACTGGACATTTGATCATTGAGACAATTGATCACTGGACAATTGATCATTGGACAATTGATCATTGGACATTTGGTTCAGGAAGAGGGGGGGGGTAATTCAAAGGTCAAAGTCTAGGTCAACGTCTAAGGAAGCCTATGCCTAGTGCCCTACTGTCTACGCCTATTGAATAAGAACCCGTGCCTTTGGATATAACTGGGAGGTATGAAAGCCTGAACCTATGGAGAGGTTTTTAAAAAAGGGGGGTCGGTCATTTTTGGTGCCAGATTTTCAGTGTGGGATTTTTAGTGTGGGACAGTCAGGGACATTTGGTCACTGAGACATTTGGTCACTGGGACAATTGATCACTGGAAAATTGATCATTGGGACAATTGGTATGAATCACTGGACATTAGGTCACTGGGACATTTGGTCACTGGGACATTTGATCACTGGGACAATTGATCACTGGACATTTGATCATTGAGACAATTGATCACTGGACAATTGATCACTGGACAATTGATCATTGGACATTTGGTTCAGGAAGAGGGGGGGGGGGGGTAATTCAAAGGTCAAAGTCTAGGTCAACGTCTAAGGAAGCCTATGCCTAGTGCCCTACTGTCTACGCCTATTGAATAAGAACCCGTGCCTTTGGATATAACTGGCAGGTATGAAAGCCTGAACCTGTGGAGAGGATTTTTGAAAAAGGGGGGTCGGTCATTTTTGGTGCCAGATTTTCAGTGCGGGATTTTTAATGTGGGACAGTCAGGGACAATTGATCACTGGACATTTGGTCCATGGACATTTGATCACTGGACATTTGATCATTGGTACATTTGATCATTGGCATTTGATCATTGGTATATTTGATCATTGGACATTTGGTCCATGGACATTTGATCACTGGACAATTGATCATTAGGACAATTGATCACTGGACAATTGATCACTGGGACAATTGATCACTGGACATTTGATCATTGAGACAATTGATCACTGGACAATTGATCATTGGACAATTGATCATTGGACATTTGGTTCAGGAAGAGGGGGGGGGGTAATTCAAAGGTCAAAGTCTAGGTCAACGTCTAAGGAAGCCTATGCCTAGTGCCCTACTGTCTACGCCTATTGAATAAGAACCCGTGCCTTTGGATATAACTGGGAGGTATGAAAGCCTGAACCTATGGAGAGGTTTTTAAAAAAGGGGGGTCGGTCATTTTTGGTGCCAGATTTTCAGTGTGGGATTTTTAGTGTGGGACAGTCAGGGACATTTGGTCACTGGGACATTTGGTCACTGAGACATTTGGTCACTGGGACAATTGATCACTGGAAAATTGATCATTGGGACAATTGGTATGAATCACTGGACATTAGGTCACTGGGACATTTGGTCACTGGGACATTTGATCACTGGGACAATTGATCACTGGACATTTGATCATTGAGACAATTGATCACTGGACAATTGATCACTGGACAATTGATCATTGGACATTTGGTTCAGGAAGAGGGGGGGGGGGGTAATTCAAAGGTCAAAGTCTAGGTCAACGTCTAAGGAAGCCTATGCCTAGTGCCCTACTGTCTACGCCTATTGAATAAGAACCCGTGCCTTTGGATATAACTGGCAGGTATGAAAGCCTGAACCTGTGGAGAGGATTTTTGAAAAAGGGGGGTCGGTCATTTTTGGTGCCAGATTTTCAGTGCGGGATTTTTAATGTGGGACAGTCAGGGACAATTGATCACTGGACATTTGGTCCATGGACATTTGATCACTGGACATTTGATCATTGGTACATTTGATCATTGGCATTTGATCATTGGTATATTTGATCATTGGACATTTGGTCCATGGACATTTGATCACTGGACAATTGATCATTAGGACAATTGATCACTGGACAATTGATCACTGGGACAATTGATCATGGACATTTGATCATTGAGACAATTGATCACTGGACAATTGATCATTGGACAATTGATCATTGGACATTTGGTTCAGGAAGAGGGGGGGGTAATTCAAAGGTCAAAGTCTAGGTCAACGTCTAAGGAAGCCTATGCCTAGTGCCCTACTGTCTACGCCTATTGAATAAGAACCCGTGCCTTTGGATATAACTGGGAGGTATGAAAGCCTGAACCTATGGAGAGGTTTTTAAAAAAGGGGGGTCGGTCATTTTTGGTGCCAGATTTTCAGTGTGGGATTTTTAGTGTGGGACAGTCAGGGACATTTGGTCACTGGGACATTTGGTCACTGAGACATTTGGTCACTGGGACAATTGATCATTGGGACAATTGATCACTGGAAAATTGATCATTGGGACAATTGGTATGAATCACTGGACATTAGGTCACTGGGACATTTGGTCACTGGGACATTTGGTCACTGGGACATTTGATCATTGGGACAATTGATCACTGGACAATTGAACATTGGGACAATTGATCACTGGACATTTGAGTCAGGAAGGGGGGGGGGGTAATTCAAAGGTCAAAGTCTAGGTCAACGTCTAAGGAAGCCTATGCCTAGTGCTTTACTGTCTACACCTATTGAATAAGAACCCGTGCTTTTGGATATAACTGGCAGGTATGAAAGCCTGAACCTATTTAGTTTTTGACAATTCGGTTTGAAGTGGTATTAAAACTAACTGCTGGTATTCGTTTGGGAGTTTAATTACAGAAAAAGTTCTAATTTTTACAAAATTAAAAGCAGGTCGTCAAGCTGGATCGCTTTTAGAGTTTAGGAGTGTCTGAAGCTCTCGGAGCTTGGAAAAGTTGGGGTTGGGTGAACCCAAGGTCGGGGGAGCGGGGACACCAGACCCATTTTTAACCAACAAAAAAATAATGTGATAAAAAATACCACTTGTAAAGAAAAGGCCTTTTTGCTTTCTTCTAAACGAATCCGCAAAAAAGCCTTTTTTTACAAGTGGCTTAAATGTGCTTTTCCGTTTTTCAATCTAAAAATCCTGCTGTTTTAAAACATTTTGTACTTGAAAAAAATAAAACAAAAAAAATTCGACGCAAACGGAAAAGCACTAAAAAATAATAAAAAACATATTTCATTCAACTATTTTTTAGACCTTTAAATGTGGCAGAAGCATCTTTGCCACATTTTTAGCTTCTCTCATCTTTGTAGTCCATCAATTTGTTGCAATCCAATGCTCATTTTTAACACTTCTTGCAATAATAAGTCTCGGTGTAGCTGTTGATGTTACAGAGCCGTCAGCCTCAATGTACGAGTTTTGTTGTTGCAGCACACATCTGAAAAATACCTTTAAAATTAAAAATACGAAAATTGTCGTCTTCAAAAAAATACTTAAGAAAGCACGTTTCTGCCCACAGCTTAGTCAAATATAGTTAATCCCCCCCAACAAAACAGCCTCTCCACTCCCCAGCCTACCCAAAGACAGTCTCCCATCCCAAAGAATAAAAAAGAGAAAATACCAAACCTTAGAGTTGTGATGATGCTCAAATCCTTCCTTCTCAGCAGTCTGGTTGGCGTCTAACCAAGAGAGCGTTTCCTGACATTTGTCCAAAACCTTCTTCTTATCGTCCTCGCTAATCTTGTCCTTGAGCTGTAATTTTTTGAAGAATTAAACAAGTCCCTTACAAGAGGGTCGACCCTGCCTGATTCAAAAAAGCAAAGGACGTGGGAAAAGGAAGACGGAAGACACACCATCCCTATCCCCAGTCCACTCCCAACAAGACATTTCATCCCTGACCCCAGTCCATACACCTTAAGGCTGCCCAAACCTTTCCCCAGAATTATCACCACACAAGACAATCTATTCCTAGCCTCAGTTCATCCCCCAAAATAACCCATCCTATCCTAAAACAAGTTACCAACCTCAAGACACCCATTCTCCGCTTTATCCCTCAAAATCAAACCTTATCATCCTCCATTGTCTGCTTGATGTTAAAGCAGTAAGACTCAAGTCCGTTCTTAGCAGAAACACGATCACGCTGAATTTCATCCTCTCCACGATATTTCTCAGCTTCTTGGACCATGCGCTCAATCTCATCTTTGGAAAGACGTCCCTTGTCATTAGTAATGGTGATCTTGTTTTGCTTTCCAGTCGACTTGTCTTGGGCAGAAACATTCAAAATTCCGTTGGCGTCAATGTCAAAGGTGACTTCGATTTGAGGAACACCACGAGGAGCAGGAGGAATTCCACTCAACTCGAATTTGCCCAACAAGTTGTTGTCCTTAGTCATAGCACGTTCACCTTCATAGACCTTTAAAAAAGGAAAGGTTTTCCAAAAAATTTTCAAAAATTTTTTCCAACCTGAATAAGAACACCAGGCTGATTGTCAGAATAAGTAGTAAATGTTTGAGAAGTCTTGGTGGGAATAGTCGTGTTTCTCTTGATTAACGGAGTCATGACACCTCCAGCAGTTTCAATTCCCAACGAGAGTAGAGCAACGTCCAAAAGAAGAAGATCCTTTAAAAAAATTTTCAAGTCTTTAACCCAAAACACTCCCAAAAAGATACCTGAACATTCTCAGACTTATCGCCAGACAAAATTGCAGCCTGAACAGCAGCTCCATAGGCGACAGCTTCGTCCGGGTTGATGCTCTTGTTAAGTTCTTTGCCAGAAAAGAAGTCAGACAAAAGCTTCTGGACTTGAATACGAGTTGAACCTCCAACCAAAACAATGTCATGAATTTGAGACTTGTCCATCTTATTGTTAGCATCACGAATTGATTTCTCAACTGGATCCATAGTACTGCGGAACAAATGGCGCAAAGCTCTTCAAAACGTGCACGAGTGATGTTGGTGTAGAAGTCAATTCCATCAAAGAGAGAGTCAATCTCAATGCTAAAATCGATTCAAGTTAAGGACAAAAAAGTCAAAAAATAACCTCGCTTGAGTGGAGCTAGACAAAGTCCTCTTAGCGCGTTCACAAGCAGTACGAAGACGACGGAGAGCACGTGGATTGGTGGCAAGGTCCTTCTTGTGCTTACGCTTGAAGTCAGCCACGAAATGGTTGACCTTAAAAATACATATTTTCAGTTAAGAAAACCCCTCAAAAATCACAAACCATTCGATTGTCAAAATCTTCGCCTCCAAGGTGAGTGTCTCCAGCAGTCGACTTAACCTCAAAAATACCATCTTCAATAGTCAAGATTGACACATCAAAAGTTCCACCGCCCAAGTCAAAAATCATTACATTTCGCTCGCCTTGGCCCTTCTTATCCAAACCATAAGCAATGGCCGCAGCAGTTGGCTCGTTGATGATACGCAAAACATTGAGTCCAGAAATCGTTCCAGAATCCTTTGTGGCTTGGCGTTGACTGTCGTTGAAGTACGCAGGCACAGTGATGACAGCATCTTTCACGGTTTGTCCCAAAAATGCTTCGGCCGTTTCCCTCATTTTAGTCAAAACCATGGCGGAGACTTCCTTAAAACCGAAAAATTGAACTCAAACCAAGTAAAATCCAAATCAAACCTCAGGGAAGAACGTCTTCATTTCTCCTTTAACCTCCACCTGGATTTTTGGACGAGCACCTTCTCCTTGAATAACCTTGAACGGCCAATGCTTCATGTCGGATTGAACGGCTGGATCGTCAAACTTGCGTCCAATCAAGCGTTTGGCGTCTGAAAATAATTTTTGATTTTGTTACTAGAAAACAAAAGAAATGAGATATTGACAAAAATAAGACCATGAGATATTGACAAAAATAAAAGAATTGAAGAGATCAGAATAAACTTTGTCGTTGTTAACATTTTTTAAAACTGAAAAATATATGAATAAATTAAAAATCACGGAAGGATAAATTAAAGGCGAAGCATAAATAAGTAATGAAAGAGGAGGGGAGAAATAAAAAGGCTTCCTTGTTTAAATCAGGGAAAAAACTCTTGGAGAAAAACATATAAGGCCAGACCCAGTTGTGGAAGATTCTCGAATTATTCAAGGGTAGGAATTGGAAGATCTCAAAAATTATATTCGACAAGGACTACAAGAGAACAAGGGAAACATAAAAGAAAATGCAAACTCCGGAAACTAATGAAAATCGATAAGTGACGCCAAATGAATTTGAACTAAATATTAACACAAATTAATTTTGTTAATCTAATTTTGGAAAATGTCAAAGTGTCAAGTCGTTGTTATCCTGTCAATTACTCGAAAAAATGAAAAAAAAAGATCTTCAAAGCCTAAAGAATTTAAAAATTTTATTTAGGTAGACTTTAAGAAGATATCGACGAGAATGCGGTGATATAGAGGACACATTTTAAGTCTGACAATTTTTATATTTTGATGAAGGAAAAGGATCTGGACCCTATAACTCATCATGGAGTGGTCACTTTTTCATGTTCTTGGTACCTTTGGACAGAGAATCAAAATCTCTACAACATACCAAAAAATGAGAATTTTTGAATGATTGATTAAAAAGTTATGATCTAAAAACTAACTTTTTAAAAAATGTGATTTTTCGGCACTTTATCAATCATAACTTTTTTATCAATTGGTCAAAAATTCTGATTTTTTGGTAATTTGTTGTACATTTAATTCCCTATCCAATGGTACATAGAAAATTAAAAATTATAAACCTCTTTATGAGTTATAGGGCGCGCGACTGAACTGAGCCGAGATTGAACTGAGGTGTACCCAATGAAACAAGTAAAAAAATTTACTATTTCTCTCTCTTTAGTCTTTCTGAAATAGGACAAATTGTCATTCTTGGCAAACAGAGTGCCGAAATTTAAATTTTAACGAAAAAATGGCACGACCTCTCCAAAAAAGTATTTTGTCTACACTATTTTTTCCGTTAAAAATCAAAAACCTCTATAAACATACATATTCACGGATATTTCTACTTATACTTTTATTCTTATTTTACATAATTTTGCTACATGTGTATTACATTATATAAATCAATCATTTCTGAAACATCAAATGTTAGCACAACTTAATGAGCCAAATAAACGAGTTAATGCGCTGATAAATAAAATATTTGCTGAACTAAACGATAATATAGAATGAGAAGTTAGGTAGGATAACGAGTAAACGCCGCAATTTTTGATGGCTCCTTTGTTGTTATCTTTGTTATTTTTTAATCAAAGCTAATACAAATTATATTGTGCATATACATACATAACAATACATCCAGCAAGATTTTCTGTTATTAAAAAATGTGGAAAGACATGCCTGCGCAAAATTAATAAAAATAACAAAACAAATAATATTTTTCCAAAATACTCTTTTAGCAAACAATCTAATCTCATTCATTTGTTACTATGCAGTATAAAATTTTTGGAGGAAAAGGATTCCCTTTCTATATTTAATTAATTTTATTTTTTTCTTTTAAATGTTATACTATGCTTTTATATTTATTCTATTTGGCCATTTTGTAATTAATCTCTTCTTATAATTTGTATACGTATGTGACAGACAAAGTTGTCAGTTTTTAATCTTTGGTTTTATTCTAATAATTGATGAAATTGATGTTATACTTTTTAAAGGAATTTATGGAATTCTGAGGGCTTTTTTATTTTAGCAAAAGTGATAAAAATAAGTAAATTAATTAGCACAAATGGCACATAAGTAATTTTTTAGATAAGTTAGTCTAACCTCTCAAACTTGTTTTTAATTGTTACTTGGCATTGAACTCCGAACACTCAGAATAATTTCTTTAGCGGATATTTTTACAAAAGAACGAAGGATTTTTTCGAAGGAATGAAGAAAAAGATAGATAGGGAATAAAATGGGTGGTCCTCACGCATCGCAGATTTTTACCTCAAACCAATTTTCAATTTTCTTCTTTTGTTCTTTCATACTGAATAATTCTAAAAAGTTTAATTTACTTTATTATTTTTATAGTCTCTATACATTTTTTGTTCAAATTCTTGCGTTCATTGTTCAGAATATTTTGGGCCAAAGGGTAGATGATTAAATGCGTCAGAAACTATGAAACACTTAATTAGCCACAAATAAGAAAGAGCACAAAGAGAAAGTGACAGGCGGGGCTCCGAATAAGAAGCTGCAAAAAAGAAAGGCGACGTAACCAACAGGAGTTTCTCTGATTTCTTTCTTTAAAGAAATATATGCATCAAGGACGTGCAAGAAGAAAAAACAGGAAATCATTCATTCCTAAGAAAAAGAAGTATTTTAGAGTACAAGTGAGAGAAAAAGTAAGCATTAAAAGATCAGGTTAGAAAAGTTAAAAACTGAATAAAGTTTGAAGATTGTGATTGTGAAAATCTGGAGATTCGAAAAATTGGAGAAAAGAAATTGACTAATAAACCAAGACGGAATAAAGGTTAGAGATAATATACAAAATTATAAAAAAAAGTTGGAAATAAGAAAAGAGAATTTCTGCATGTATAAGAAAGTAAAAAAATAAGAAACAAACTGCATCATCACAACAAAACAACCAACGACCAACCTTAACTTATTTTCACCACAAAGGCATTCCTTTTGCACACGCCCAAACACAACACAAAAATGCTTTAGTTTAGTAGTCAGTTGCTCTTCGCGCATATATATAAAAGGTTGTTAGTGTTCCACCACAGTGTCACTCGTTCAATCGTCTTTTGCGCTTTTGTTTGAGCTTAATTAAACACGACTTTTACCACAATTGGGAATTTAGACTAGGGTCGCTATGTGAGTGGGGTTAATTGAAGGATGTTCTTCTAATTTTTGATTAGAAAAAAGCCTGAATGTTTTATATGTATGATGAGAAGCAATGAGTATTTTTATTGCATGTTATAGTTGCTTTTATAAAAATTCTCAAAATTTCTTATGAAAAATGTTTAATATTTCCCATTAAAACGCCCCTCCAATTATTGTAATTATTAATTTTTCATTTTCAAGTTACTTCGTAATCGTACTGTGAAATATATACACATTTTAAATTATTTTTTTTTATTAAGGATAAAGCTAATAATTATGGATTACGAGGCCAGAATTAAAGCTTATCGGTTTGTAGCATACTCTACAGTTTCTTTCTCGGTTATTTCACTGATCTCGGTTTGCTTCACTCTTCCAATGCTCAAAAACTACGTTTCTAATGTATCATTGAACATGGATAGGGAATTGACGATGTGCCAAGTTTGTGAAAATTAAAAGTAAAATAAGACTGTATGGTTCAGGGATCAGCAAAAGACATTTGGTCAGAGGTTCTTCAATTGAAGAATATCCCCGTTAGTGGTGGGAATCGTACAGCACGTCAAGCTGGTTATGGTGGTGGTGAAGCACCAGTTACTGGAGGATCTGCTTCTTCTGGCGGCGGTCAATGCAGCGATTGTTGTTCCGGGGGAGGACCAGGCCCAGCAGGTCCCCCCGGTCCACCGGGAAGGTCAGGAAACCCAGGAGCACCCGGATCACCTGGACAGCCTGGAAAGTCTCAACAAGCACCTTGTCAACAAGTCACAACTGTGAGTTGAAAAAAGTCATTGAAGTCTAATGGTAATTAAATAATATTTTCAGCCACCATGCAAACCTTGCCCAGGAGGCCAACCAGGCCAGCCAGGACCCCCCGGACCACCTGGCCAGCCGGGAGGCCCAGGACAACCTGGACAACCAGGAGGACAAGCCTCTCCCGGAGAACCTGGACCCGCAGGACCCCCTGGATCGCCTGGAGCACCAGGTAATATCTTTATAACATTCATGAGGAACTGAACAAACAATACAAAAAATAAAGGTCAACCTGGCGGCCCTGGACAACCTGGAGCACCTGCACAGTCTCAAGAAGCTGGACCTGCACCTCCTGGTCCACCAGGTAAATACATTTTACATGTTTGAGTTTTTTCCATATACGACAAATTATTTTTGTATTATTGAGAAAATAATAACTGTAAATAATTTTAAAATGTATTTATAGGAGACGCTGGAGCACCTGGACAACCTGGAAATCCAGGTCCAGCTGGACAACCTGGAGGTCCTGGAGGACCTGGACCAAAAGGACCACCAGGCCCACCCGGCCAACCTGGAAATGACGGAGCTCCTGGTCAGCCTGGAACACCTGGATCACCCGGAGGGGCAGGAGAGAAGGGTATCTGCCCCAAATATTGCGCCATCGACGGTGGAGTCTTCTTTGAAGATGGAACTCGAAGACGTTAAATGTAGACAGAAGTTTAAACTAATAGTGCATTTAGAATTTATCTGGCGATGGAGGAATATCTTTATTTCTGGACTTTTACATTTAATTATTTTTATTATCGTAAACATAACTGCCATTTTCTTAACCCAAAAATAAATCTGCCCTTCCTTCTTGTATTTTGATATTTTCGGTTTCTAAAGGATTTCGCTAGTTATGTACTATTTTCCAATGGGTAAATTTAACATTTTTTCGATGAATTTCGGATAGTTTTGATTTGAATAAAAATATTTTAGCTTGTTAATTTAATTGTTTAAAGGAAAAAATACATATAAAACAGCAAAAGAAAAAAAACTATAAGAAAACTATACATAAAAAACTAGAAGAAATGATTTAATAAATTCCTGTAAAAATAAATAGCTGATTATGGAGTATTACTTAACCCTGTATTTAACTATGTACTACTCCATATGTATGTTTTGAGAAAAATAATTAGGAACTATATTAATTGTAAATTCAATGGACGATCCCAATTAAAACATCAGAAATTAATTATAACGTAAAAGTTATTTGATAATTAGGTAAATCACCCTTCGGAAATGTTTTGCTACAAACCTGTATTAAACTACTGAGTAGTTAATATGCCGAAAAAACTAGACATCTATCTCTCACCTTTTTAGTTAGTATTTCAACTGATTTATTGCCCTGTATTGTACTATGATTTTATATAAAATTTGGGTGTGACCACTTCTTTTGAATAATTGTTGGATTAATTTAATAAAAGTAAATTTAATACGTATGTATGAATAAAAGCTGTGATAATTAAAAATGAGATTTAAATCATTTTTCTATCTTTATAACGAAGTGTTAAATAATTTTTTTTCAGTTTTTATACGAGTACAAATATGCATATTTCTGAAATTCAAAGAAATAAAAATTAATTTTAAAAAAGTGGAATAACTCTAGTGTTGAAAAAAATTCTTAAATTTTATTTTAAATTTTGTTTGCGAAGTTATAATGATTGAAGAGGCCTAAACGAAAAGCTAGAGGTAATAAATGAAAAAATAGAATTTTACATGAGGGGAAAAAATATACATGAGGGAAAAACGAGCGAAAAATGAACATCTATTCTTATTTTTTTCATTTTTGGTTTTTTATTCTCTTTGTTTCGTCTCAAAATATTTGCTACTACTCCTGTTTTTCTTCTCCAAAATATTTTTAAAGCCAAATTTTAACGAAAAGGCCCATTTTTAATACATATTATTGCACACTGAACGATTCATAAAGAAATTTATAAAAAAATTGAAGGAGCATGAGAAAAGAACCACCCATTCCATAAAACTGGAATTGAGGCCGCAAAAATTACTACTGTTACATCTACGGAAATGAACAGCAAAAGCAGTAATAAGTTATAACAGCTTAAATCGTTTTCTTTTTAATTCTTTTTATTTCTTTTTATTGTCGGTTTCGTCGTTTATGTCCCAAACTACCTATGTGCTCCCCACTTTACGTCTACATTCTTCATTTAGAAGCGCCGTTATGCACTAAACACTCTTCGCTATATTATTCCAATTTTTTGTTTGTTACACCTCACCATTCTAAACTTATTTTTTTATTCATCGATAAACAGCGATAATTTTCGCTATAAATGGACGTTTAGGCCCAACCCTGATGCGCAAGTCCCGTTATAAATTTGCTCATTGACCCAGCATTCCGTCCCATTTGATTAAGCGTTCCACCTTTTGGAACCAAAACCTCTATCATTTACCCTTGCTTTTATTATAATTAAAGTTGGGGTTATTTAATATCGAAAACATTCATAGGCAATTATCATTTTAATATTTTCCAAAATTTTATACTATCACCAATCTATTTTATAGATAATTGATAATTACCATAAGTTTGTAGAAATTACGATTAAACCTTATGCTTGAACATAGTATATTAATTTATTACGATAACAATTTAAGATTAAGAGATAAATATTTAAGAATATAGGTTTCTCTTGAAGAGTTCTTATTTCGCTAGGAATCATTTATTTATAAATTAAATTTACAGGCAAAGCCAATAAAAATGGACTACGAATCAAGAATTAAAGCTTACCGATTCGTGGCCTATTCCACGGTGTCTTTCTCAGTTATTTCTCTAGTCTCTGTATGTTTTACATTGCCAATGCTTCAAAGCTATGTATCAAATGTGGCCTCAAATATGGATAGAGAATTGAATTTGTGTCAGGTAGGATTAATTAAATTTAGAAAAATTCAAATAAATTCCAAAAATGTAGGGCACAGCAAAGGACATTTGGTCAGAAGTTAACCAACTCAAAAGTATTCCTGCTAGCGGCAATCGTACAGCACGTCAAGCTGGTTATGGTGGTGGTGAAGCACCAGTGACTGGAGGATCTGCTTCTTCTGGCGGCGGCCAATGCAGCGATTGTTGTTCTGGAGGAGGACCAGGCCCAGCAGGTCCCCCCGGTCCACCGGGAAGGTCAGGAAACCCAGGAGCACCCGGATCACCTGGACAGCCTGGAAAGTCTCAACAAGCACCTTGCCAACAAGTCACAACTGTGAGTTGAAAAAACCCATTGAAGTCTAATAATTAAATAATATTTCCAGCCACCATGCAAACCTTGCCCAGGAGGCCAACCAGGCCAGCCAGGACCCCCCGGACCACCTGGCCAGCCGGGAGGCCCAGGACAACCTGGACAACCAGGAGGACAAGCCTCTCCCGGAGAACCTGGACCCGCAGGACCCCCTGGATCGCCTGGAGCACCAGGTAATATCTTTTTAATATTTATGAGATAAATGAACAATTCAAAAAATAAAGGTCAACCTGGCGGCCCTGGACAACCTGGAGCACCTGCACAATCTCAAGAAGCTGGACCCGCACCTCCTGGTCCACCAGGTAAATACATTTTACATGTTTATGAGTTTTTTCCATATATGACAAATTATTTTTGTATTATTGAAAAAATAATAAATGTAAATAATTTTAAAATGTATTTATAGGAGACGCTGGAGCACCTGGACAACCTGGAAATCCAGGTCCAGCTGGACAACCTGGAGGTCCTGGAGGACCTGGACCGAAAGGACCACCAGGCCCACCCGGCCAACCTGGAAACGATGGATCTCCTGGCCAGCCTGGACAGCCAGGACCAAACGGTGGAAGTGGAGAGAAAGGAATCTGCCCCAAATATTGCGCAATCGACGGTGGAGTCTTCTTCGAGGATGGAACTCGACGACGTTAAACATATTCCGGCTAGAGGAATTTATCAGAAATGTTGCCACTTTCATCTACGTCAAAAACATAGTTTTTAACAAACTGATAATTTAAAAAACATACTGCCATTTCTATGATTTTAATATATCATTTATATATTGTTCATGCCATGCTTTTTATATTTTAATATCTAAAGCATAATGAGAAATATTTAATAAATACATACATAGTACACAAACTTGGAATTGATAAAAACCTAAAGAATAATGAAATAAAAGATAAATAAGTAAACTAAAAAATAATAACATAATTTAATTAATCCCTTTTAGGTAAAGCAAAATATTATTCTTAAATTACAAATTTGGAATTAAACTTGAACTTTTAATTTCAAAAAATAAGCTTGAAATTCAAATCGTTTCGACAAAGTAAAATACAAATTATTGTTTTAAATATTCTATTATACATAATTTCTCCATACATCTAACTACATATATTTTATATTTTTAAATTTTATATTTCCATAGCAACTTGTTATTCTGCAAATCCCACAGACTAGTAGCTTTCTAAGCGCAATAAGCTGCAAACTAAATCTATTTATAATACCTAATGTTTAATAAAAATTCTGAATCATTTTGATCTGTCTTAAATATTCTTAAGCCTTTTAATTTTTTCGTCAATAAACAAATTTGTCAGTTAGTTAAAAAACTCATGTAACATCAGCACTCTCGAAATGCCTAACACACTCACTTCTATTTGTGGCAAATCAATACTTTCATTTGGCAATTTTGGAAGGATTTTACTTTTGAATAGAAATAAATTCTTTCATTATTAACCAAAACACTTGACCGATTTTTAGAGGCAATAATTTCTCATATTTGGCAATATTTCTCACATTTTTACCTAATTAGCATTTTATTCATTTAAATCTTTAACATATTCATTCTCAGAGTGCAACAATTAACAGAAAAAAGACAAAAACAAAAAAATTTAGACATACTTCCAATTTTCAGAAATTTTAAACAATCTTTTAAATGCGCGAGATTGTTCACATACAGGCAGGTCAATGCGGGAATCAAATCGGTGCAAAATTTTGGGAAGTAATATCTGATGAGCATGGTATTGATCCTACTGGGTATCAATCTTTTTAATATATGTACAAACATTTTAACGGATTCTTAATGATTTAGAATGTATAATGGTGATTCTGATTTACAATTAGAAAGAATTAATGTCTATTACAATGAGGCCAGCGGTAATCAAAAATAAATTCACAATGACTTAATTATGACTTAATTATTAGGTGGGAAACATGTACCTAGGGCTGTTTTGGTTGATTTAGAAGTAAGATATATGTATATAATTTTTAAATATCTATTATATGAAAAATAATAATATAACAAAAAAGAAAAACAAAAAATATAAAGCCAGATAAAACAGTAAACTCTAGAGAAAATTTTAGCCTGGAACGATGGATTCAGTAAGAGCAGGACCGATTGGGCAACTATTTCGTCCTGATAATTTTGTATTTGGTAAATAATTAATGCAATTATACCAATAATTTATACAAAAAATTCAAAGGTCAAAGTGGTGCAGGAAATAACTGGGCTAAAGGACATTATACAGAAGGGGCTGAATTAGTTGATAATGTTTTGGATGTAGTTAGAAAAGAAGCAGAAAGTTGTGATTGTTTACAGGCATAAAAATTTACAAAAAACAGAATGAAGCATTGCATTATAGGGTTTTCAAATGACTCATTCCTTGGGTGGTGGAACTGGTTCTGGAATGGGGACATTGTTAATTAGTAAAATTAGAGAAGAATATCCTGATAGGATTATGGCTACTTGTATGTTGATAGAAAATTTTTAAATAACTAGTCAGAGAAGTTTCTTTATAGATTCTGTTGTTCCATCACCAAAAGTATCGGATACGGTAGTCGAGGTAAAAACATAATATTAAAACAGGTTGAACAAAAACATAATAGGTAAGCAAATTCTCACACATTTAAATTTTAACAGCCCTATAACGCAACATTATCCGTACACCAATTAGTTGAAAATACAGATGAGACATTTTGTATCGATAATGAAGCTCTTTATGATATATGCTTCAGAACTTTGAAACTTACAACTCCAACATATGGAGATCTTAACCATTTAGTGAGCATGACAATGTCTGGTATGTTTTTGCCATCTTTTAAATTTCAAAGCTTAAAAGGTGTAACAACTTGCCTACGTTTTCCGGGACAATTAAATGCGGATCTAAGAAAATTAGCAACAAAGTGAGATAAGATGTTGTTCAATTTTTCTATTTCTAAACTATAGCATGGTACCGTTTCCTAGACTTCATTTCTTTATGCCTGGATTTGCTCCACTGACGTCAAGAGGAAGTCAGAATTATAGGGCTTTGACTGTGCCAGAATTGACACAACAAATGTTTGATGCTAAGGTAGAGATAATAAAATATGTATTTACCTCCAAAAATCATTTTTATATAGAATATGATGGCAGCTTGTGATCCACGTCACGGGTATATATACTACTTTAGTAAAAATATAACTGGTGTTTCGTAAAGAATTAGAAAATTCGTTAATAGATAAGAATTTTAAAAATATTTCAGAAGATATCTAACAGTCGCAGCAATATTTCGAGGTCGAATGAGTATGAAAGAAGTAGAGAAAATAATACTAATTCAAAAATATTTAAAAAATTGAAGGTTGATGAACAAATGTTAAATGTTCAAAACAAAAATTCTTCATATTTTGTTGAATGGATTCCTAATAATGTAAAGACTGCTGTTTGTGATATTCCTCCAAGAGGTGTTAAGATGGCTGCTACTTTTATTGGAAACTCTACTGCTATTCAGGAATTGTTTAAGCGAATATCTGAACAATTTACTTGTAAGTATAAAATAAACTGATGTTTGAAAAAATCAGAACTATCGAAAAAACAAATAATATTTTTCATAGCTATGTTCAGACGCAAAGCTTTTCTTCATTGGTACACAGGCGAAGGAATGGATGAAATGGAATTTACTGAAGCTGAATCTAATATGAATGATTTAGTATAGCTATTTAACTTTGTTCTTATTTTTTAATGTTTTGTTAGGTTTCGGAATATCAGCAATACCAGGATGCCACTGCTGATGATGAAGGAGAATTTGAAGAACATGAAGAGCCGGAGCATGATATTGAATAGATTTAAAAAAATGCAATGTAATAAGATAGATAGAAAACCAAATTAAAAATAATTGCTGATAAAAACTTCGAAAGTTTACTACTAAAATTGGATTATAGTTTTTCTGGCGTGTTTTTAAAAAATGGCGGAAATTAATTTTTGTAAGATTGGCGTTTGATTTTTTAAGATGCGCGTTTTTTCAAATTCGTTGACGAAAAGTCCGCTGACGTAAGGTCCATTGACGAAACGTATTGACGGAAAGTCCATTGACGGAAATTCTATTGACGAAAAGTCTTGCCACCTAACTGCAAATTGAAATTCATAGCTGGAATTTGTATGCTATAATCAAATACATCAACTCAGATTCATGCCTATCAACTTTTATTGTACTGGCTCATCATACAAACAATGGTAAATATTTAAATTATTTGTGGATTTTTCACAGACTTTGTTAGACAGCTATTGTTAGTTTTAGGTTAAAATACTGATTCTCCTATTCATAGGCTTTCTCTACACATTCTGCCTTTTAATAAATTTTCATCAAGATTTTGACTTAATTTAATAAATTAGTAAATTGAAAAGTTAAATGTAAACAAACACAGTTGGTACTCTTTCACTACACAAGCTATGCATTCGATAATAAACGGATTAAGTGCTTTTTTAAATAATCCTTGACTTTCATTTACTACTTTGACATTATCATTTGTTTGTAGATTTCATTTTGTTTTCACTCTACATATTTACTTTCAAGAAAATTTTTGCCATGTTTAAAAATGAATTATTTAATTAGTTAATAGTTACGTAAAAATTAATCATTTTTCTCCATTATAATGTTAGTAAAATAATTTCTTTAATCATTCTATTTATTCTTTCAATCGCCACTAACACATTTCTTTTCCACCTACTTTCACTCTTTATTATTTTTCCTTTCCTTTTATGCTTGAATTTAATGTTCACTAGTTTAATTCATTAAAAAATCGAATGCGAAATAAATTCTGCTAGAAAGAAAGGGCATTTTAACAAATAAATACATAACATTTTTATTTGTTTTCCTTGCGTACTTGGAATGAAAAATATTTTTTAATTTAGAGAAATCAACGATCATTCACACCAATGGAGATAGAACCTGACAAACATCTGAAGTAATCATTTTTGCTGTTTTTTTAATTATTCATTGATTTTAGGGGGATGAAAGAGCTTTTGAGCACAATGGACCCGCAGGCAGATCCAAACACACACAAAGAATTCAAGGAAAAAACGCATGTAGTTTGTGCCAGGTTTTTGGGAGGTGCGTGGAAAACTGTTTCTCACGAAGACCTGAAAATCAACAGAGTCAAGTTTGTTTATATGACGTTTTAATTATTCCATCATTATAGGGGCGGCATGAGCAACATGCTTTTCTTGTGTCGATTAACTGAAAATCACCCGCCTATTAAAAACGAACCTGACAAAGTGCTATTGCGGGTTTATTTTAATCCCGAGACTGAGAGCCATTTGGTCGCAGAGTCTGTAATTTTCACGCTTTTTTCTGAGCGTCATCTTGGTCCAAAACTTTATGGAATTTTTAGTGGAGGTCGGCTCGAGGAATACATCCCGGTTTGATTTATATTTATTACTTAACTATTTATTTTCAAACTCTTACATCGATTGAAATTGTTAAAATTTTAAATCTTTGTGCTCATATTATTCGAGGAAAATAAATATTAATTTATATTTAGTCGAGACCACTTACATGCACTGAAATATCATATCCGAATATGGCAAATAAGATTTCTAAGCGACTTGCTAGAGTGCATCAGCTTGATGTGCCTATCTGGAAGGAGGTTATAAACTAATTTTTCTCTATTAATTTTTACTTTTAGCCGGACTATATTTGTGACGCGTTGGACAGGTGGTTAAATCAGTTGAGACTAACACCCAGTGGATCATCTGATTTTATCATGCCGCAAAAATATTTGGAATGGGCTCCGGAAAAGATTAGCTGTGATGACTTGTTGCACGAAATCGAGAATTTACGGTTTTTTTGTTAAAAATGTGAAATGTATTATTCTACGAGTTTTTTAGTTCTCTGATTGTACATAGTCAAAGTCTTGTGACATTTTGTCATAATGATTTACAAGAAGGGAATATTCTTCTGCCAAAAGGAAGTTCTGGCAATATAAGATTGCAGTCATCTACTGAAGTATATGGAGATGGTGGACAAAGTAATTCTCTAAGTGCTTTCAATCCTATGGATTTGCGTCTTGTCCTTATAGATTTTGAGTATGCCAGTTACAATTACAGGTCGGGAAATGTCTATTTATTTGGAAGATGTCAAAGCTTTAATTCAGAGGTTTTGACTTTGCGAATCACTTTGTTGAATATAGTATCAATTATGATGTAGATCATGCACCATTTTATGAGATTCTTCCTGAAAGATTTCCTACCGAAGAACAAATGCTCGAGTTTATGTATAGTTATGAGCGCGAGGCGAATCCTAAGGTTTCGGAAGAACAATTACATGAAAGAGGGAAAAAGATGATAAAGGTAAATATACTTATAACTTTATGTAATCTAGTCTAAATATTTTATTTTAGGAAACAGTTCCGTTTGTACCAGTTTCGCATTTGCTTTGGGGAGTTTGGGGGCTACTCCAAATGGAAGTCTCTCCAGTCGGATTCGGGTTTTCGGTATTTTTCAAGTCATTATAGAATCTAGTTTTTCATTCATAGGAATATGGTCGTGACAGATTGGGTTATTATTATATGAATAAGCATTTATTGGATAAATTTTTGGACAAAATCTACTAGTTTTTTTAAATGAATAGAGAATTATAGTGAAGATAGAAACTCCCATAATCAGAACAACTAAAGACATGTACTATTTGCATTTTTCTTATCAGATTATATTTCAACTAAATTTTTAATGCGAATTTATATATTTATATTCACAGAGATAAGAAAATTTTTGCATAAATATTTAAATTGTACAAACTTACATACTATTTTGCAATTTTATGTTTTGAACATTCAATATTTTCGGCGAAAGAATTATGACAATATGGATTAGAACGTATAAACTGTTTTTACGGCTAATAATTGATCCCATTTTATTTTAACTACTTGTCCTTGACATCTCTTCATTTAGCAAGGAAGAATCTGCCCATATTTATGTTAATACATACATATGGACAGATAATATCTATGGCTAGGAATATTTTTTATTCTCAACTGTTCATACATAAATAGATTTAGGTGCTTAAGGAATTTTATTTGTGTAAGCTCTTAATTTTTTCTTTTTTTTATTAAGAAGATTATGTCTAGGAGAAGATTTTAATTGAGAATTTTGGCTTTTATTTGCTAAGTTTTTTCTGTTGTCCAAATACTTAAGTATCCTTATGTTTTAATAGTATTCAGGTTTTTGTGATACTTTTGAAATCTTGAAAATAAGTTAGTTTTATCAATGGTAAAATCTTACCCAGCAAATAAAAATGAGTCCATTTCCGTTATCTATTTTATTAAAATTTAGATTTACATAACTACTATTCCACTTGTCATTTATGGAAAACGAAGTCAATCGTCGAGAGCAAAATAGTAGCTCCTTAAACGACAGTGAATTTCCAACTGCTACGGATCCACTCCTTAAACAACCAAATAACTCATGTTTGTTTTTAACACTTTTTTATCATTAATTTGCTTTAATTAGCTGATCAAAACGCTACAGACGGAACTTTGGCACATTCTGGTCCAATACAGATGAACGGTGGTCATGCAATTCAATCTGATCGTCTTAATATTGTTTACATGATTTTTTTACTTCATGGAGTTGGTGTCCTTCTGCCATGGAATACATTTTTGACAATCGGATATGATGTAAGATTATTACTTAGATTAGACCAAAAAAATCTTATTTCAGTATTTTGTAAGCTACAAATTAAATGGAACTGATCAAAACACAGAATATCGTCTAAATTTCTTCAGTTATCTAACGGCCGCTGCTCAAATTCCAAATTTAACTCTTAGTTTATTAAATTTATTTGTGGTTATCAAAGGAGGCTTGCACAGGCGCATTTATTTATCTCTTTTAGTGATTGCATCAATTTGCATCCTGACAATATCTTTTGTTTTTGTTGACTCTTATGGATGTTTGTTTTTATTTGAATTTATTTTTTAATATCTTTCTATTTTAAGGGCCATTTTATTTTTTTATTTTTACAATTGCTTCTGTTGTGATTCTCAACAGCGCAAATGGAATTTATCAAAACAGTATTTGGGGTTTAGTAGCTGATTTTCCTGGCCAGTATACTAATGCTGTTATTCTTGGAAATAACATATGCGGCATTTTGATGGCTTTCATTTACATTATTATTCTTCTTTGTGAGTTTATAAAGACAATAATCTAACTTTAAATCATATTTTAAGCTCGAATTGGAATTCGTTTAAGTGCTTCAATTTACTTTGGTCTTGCATTATTGACTGTCATTGCCTGTGGTTTCTCCTTTCGCCTTCTTACAAAAAATGTTCAAATATTTTTTAAATCTATTTTTTTATGATTTTTAGAAATTCTACAAATTTCACGTAAGAAAAGCTGTAAAATCTAGAGCAACTTCCTGCACAGATGTTTTACACGAAGGAGAAGATATTTGTGGAAATAACTCTGAAAGAAAGCCATCCACTCCTAATCCTTCTTTAGCGACTTACTATGCCATTTTCAAAGAGGTTTTTTTAATTTATTAATTTAATCTGAAAATTTTAAGTCTTGGCGCGGCCTATTTAATGTTTGGATAATTTTCTTTACAACTTTGGCTATCTTCCCTTCAGTTTTGCTTAAAATTGAATTATATCCTCCTGGTCGAACTTTTGATATTTTTATTTATGGCGATTGGACAACTTCAAGTTTGTTTGGCTTAAATAT